CCTCATCAACATGCCTCGACCAGGTATTGCCTTCACTTGGACTGGCCCCCAGCGCCAGCCTTCACCTGGACTGGCCCCCAGCGCCAACCTTCGCTTGCACCGGCCCCCAGCGCCAACCTTCACTTGGACCGGCCCCCAGCGCCAACCTTCACTTGGACTGGCCCCCAGCGCCAACCTTCACTTGGACCGGCCCCCAGCGCCAACCTTCACTTGTACCGGCCCCCAGCGCCAACCTTCACTTGTACCGGCCCCCAGCGCCAACCTTCACTTGGACTGGCCCCCAGCGCCAACCTTCACTTGGACCGGCCCCCAGCGCCCACCTTCACTTGGACCGGCCCCCAGCGCCAACCTTCACTTGGACTGGCCCCCAGCGCCAACCTTCGCTTGGACCGGCCCCCAGCGCCCACCTTCACTTGGACTGGCCCCCAGCGCCAACCTTCGCTTGGACCGGCCCCCAGCGCCAACCTTCGTTTGGACCGACCCCCCAGCGCCAACCTTCACTTGGACTGGCTCCCAGCGCCAACCTTCGCTTGGACCGGCCCCCAGCGCCCACCTTCACTTGGACCGGCCCCCAGCGCCAACCTTCACTTGGACCGGCCCCCAGCGCCAAACTGGAGTTTTTTTTTTAATTTAGCCGAGCAGGCAGACCAACATGCTAGCCTTCATGAGGCAATCAAGGTTTCGATACTTACTATTGAATTTACGTTCTTCGTTTCCGCATAGCAATTTACCACAAGACGAAATACATAATTGAGTCATGGCGAATAATACGCACCAAATGTTGCATTTAAATAACCTACCTTACAAGCTCCTCACAATCCTTATGGGAAACCACGCCAGGAAACGTACTAAGATGATAAAAAACCCAGATGATGATGACTATCAGTTTTTAACTTACCAATATCGCAATATATCGTTTTTCAACAAAAGAGATATCTAATGTACGTTAATAAATTGAATTACTTTTCTGACTCCTCCGAGGCTAATGTCTAAACTCAGCTTAATTGCAACATGACGGTATATGGAGTTGATTTGACGAGTAAGAGTCTTCAGTGGGCGCTCAGATTTGTTACACCGAGGAGACAGCGCAATCAAGACAAGGGGAACATTAAAAACTGAACTACAAGGACCATCAAATAGGTGGAGGAAAATTGGATGCATCTACGAAGTCCCACAATCTGTTTCCCACACGGTAGTGCAGTAAAAGGTCTAGCCCACTAAAACCTGTTTTTCTCTTTCAACGCGCAATTTTATCGCTATCAACATTTCGTGGAACAATAGGCATCAAGGAACTTTGAGCTTTGAGTGCGTTTCAGTTTCTTTTCACGAAGAGCATGCGTTGATATGAGTCTCCCACGCCTGTGAGTGAGTGGACCCTTTTTACGTCTGATCATCAATGGTGGTGGGAACGATCAGTGAGTTGAGGTGTAAGTCACAGGTTTGTTCGTTAGTTCGATCCTGGAGGCATTCTGTTGATTGAGGTAACATTGAGAACTTAAGGCTTCCTCCTGTTAGATGAGGATTTAGGTGATGGTGATGCCTTTCTTGTCAGGTCGTCTCGGGCTATGCTCCGGCCATGTTATTGTCTCGTATGTTCTTTTGGATCATAATCGATAACACCGTTGGAGTCACCGTTATTTACAAGGATGTGCTTGATGCGCTACAGTTCCCTATGAGGCATCGTTCAGCATCTAAATGTTTTTAATACACTGCTGTTACAAACTTGTGTTCATCAACAGTGATGTCAACGTCTAGGTTTGACATGTGGTTGTTGACGCTTAGTTCGTATGTTTACCAAAGGACTGAAGTTCACACTATCGCACTTATGATGTCGATCACCCGTCTCTTGTCTCTACGTCGATAAAGATGTCTACATGCCAGGCGTTAGACCCATAAAATATGCGCAAATATTAGGACTTTTTCAACGCGGCGTTTGTAAGCGTCCGTAAATAGCGATGCCAAGGGGACCAGGTTGTCATTCCATTCTTCTGCCGGCAGACTTTTCCGTCTGGTGCAGGAAATGGGCCTCTGTCGCGCAAGTTCGTGGGAGCTTCTCCAGACCGGAAGCACTGAGTTTAGGGATGTTTGGGTGGTGGTAAGTGTTCGTGAGCAGGATTTGTGTCGTCTCTTCGACCGCAATGTTCCTACATAAATTCTCAACGTCTAGCACCGGCGGTAAGCCAGAATGTTGCGTGCCTTTTAGAATGTCCGAATTTCGTCCGTTGACTTAAGACTACTTCGCAGCAGCGTACGGCGTGATGAGGCAGTTGAGTTGCTGGGCCAGTTGGCAGGTAGGCGTTGGACACTAGAATGATCTGGCGCTGTGGGTTTTCTGTTCTAGGGATTTTGACATCACCGTAAGAGGAGTCGGGCTAATATTCCCCAATAACCGTCTGGCGGTAACATCATACCCGACAGCGTTGGCACAATCGATTATTGTTTTGCTTTGGTTTTTGTTAAAAAAACAAGTTTCCCAGACGGTTTGTCTCCGCAGTCATTTACAAATATTGTTGTGCTCCGTGTGGAGCATCTAGCGTGGGTCCAATGGTTCGTCACCACAGGGTATAACATTTTGGAAAGTCTGACCATACAGGTAGCATTCTCTCTAACTCAAACCCAACGTCCATCCGAGGTCATTCATTTGCGCGTGACACCCACTTAAGCATTGGACACGTCCGTATTAGGGTGTCGCAACAATTCTCTCGACCTTAAGTTTTTTATTCACTTCATATTCACCACAAAAATCAGCCATTGAACATCATGGAGCATGCATATCCTTTGCAAATAATAAAATGACCTTTTTCGTACAGTCAGAAATATATTTTGTCGCGTGATTTGCGCATGGTTCAAGCTGTCCTGTTTATACGCAGAGAGGTCTTGTTGCATTGTGTCAGCTGTGACCGTTGCCATGCCTAGCGATGTCGGTTAAATGCACTTATATCGCATCATTATCATAAATGCACCATATTTTGCGTCATTGCGCTGTTGTCCTAATATACACAATGCATTGAAACGTTGGCGAATTACATAAGCGATAGCGACTGCTGTCCCTGCCATAAAAGTTTTACTGCTTCTTACTATTTGAAGATGCTCCATACATAACTATATATATATATATATATATATATATATATATATATATATATATATATATATGTATATATACACATATATATATATATACATATATATGTATGTATATATATATATGTATATATACATGTATGTATGCAACGACTGGAATGCACCTCAATACGCCGGAACTGGAATTACAGATGGGGGTGGGCGCCAACGACCCAAGACGGCCGCTTTTCAGGCGGTTGTGGATTGCTCTCCAGCATGCTAGCTTGGTTGGATGAAGTCACATACAAAGCCACTACATGGATGTATTTGCTTTAGAAGCAGCTTAACATCGCCGCTGCCAATATATACATATACACACACATCAAAACAAAATTATGTCCATGTTCATCCATTCATCGACATTTCTATCAATGGGTTGATCTTTTTTTTAAACAAAACACAACGCATAGATTATTCAGTTCCACGTCGCACAACGCACACATTTATTTTGTCCATAAATCTGCAAAGTTCACGCTTAATTAGACATAATTTGAAAAAGTTACACTTGCAAACTGTTTAACTTAATTCAAGGCACACTTATGTTCAAATGAGGGCATTTATAAGTATGTATGAATGCATGACATTAAGCCGATGCACACTTTTCAAACTTACAAGTCGGGAGGAAAGCGATATCAAACAACCCGCTTGACACTTCTTCGGAATAATGCTATATGCCACATAAGCGTCCTTTCGGGGATGAACCCAATTCCACGTGGTGCAAGAAGCAAATCGATGGCTGTTATATCTTTATGCTCAGTTGTATTATCTCATTGGCGAAAGCCGCGTCATATTACCATTGGCAGAATGAGTTGCACATGAGACCAATTAGTAGGTGTAGCCTCTGATGTGTCAGATCAGGCCGTATGCGTCAATGGCAGGTGTACACATGGCAACCTATGCTAGCGCATGGACTGAAACGAAAAGAGGGCCACGGATCTCATTTGTAAGACTGCATTAAAACATCGTAGACAGCTACAGGCGATTTTTTACTTGAAGCCACGAAACAAACAACGTATTTCCAATGCTCTTATCACCGAACACGTGTGACATTGTATGGCTCGAGTCTTGAGTTTCGTTTCGCATCACTGCATAACCGTGTATTGCGATATAAAAACGTCTTAACGCAGAACCATGTGGTGAGATGTGCATTCTACAACCAACCGGCGTCTGGCTGCAAAACGCGAGCGGCATGACCCCACCAAGAGGTCGTCATCTGTGGCCAATCAGAGGCAGGATAGGTAACTTTACTTCGACCGAAGGTGCGAGCACATTGTTCTGCCTGAGCCACTGATAGTTTCGCCATGTTGCGTGAAGTTCTTAAACGTTGCTCCAGAAAACCTCACCGGGTGCCTTTAAGTCTGCCCCGTTGAACGAGGATTTACAGACGCCACGTGTCAGCCCTCCTCGAAGACAGTTAGTGTTCTGTGACTAATCTTTGCTGCCATCCAAACCACTAATGACGCTGCGTCCACATGCAGCGCCGACTCGGTCTGGCGGGGAGCGCCGCTGGTGTTTGGCGCACCAGGCGCGTTCGGGTACTCACGTCAGCCGCCGCTGTCACGGGCGGAGCACAGCCCGCAGCTGGCGCCGCCGCGTACTCACGTCAGCCGCCGTACTCACGTTGGTTCGGGTACTCATATTAGCCGCCGTACTCACGTTAGTTCGGGTACTCACGTCAGCCGCCGCTGTCACGGGCGGAGCACAGCCCGCAGCTGGCGCCGCCGCGTACTCACGTCAGCCGCCGTACTCACGTTAGTTCGGGTACTCATATTAGCCGCCGTACTCATGTTAGTTCGGGTACTCACGTTAGCCGCCGTACTCACGTTAGTTCGGGTACTCACGTTAGCCGCCGTACTCACGTTAGTTCGGGTACTCACGTTAGCCGCCGCCGTCACGAGCGGAGCATAGCCCGCAGCTGGCGCCGCCGCGTTGCTGGGCTCACCACCGCACCCCTGCGCTCCGCTGACCGGAGTGGCCCTCCCGAGGCGCCCGCCGGCGCGACCCCGCCGCGCAGCCAATCAGCACGGCTGGCGGCAGCGCTACGCCCACCCATTGGCCGAAAGCGCCGCTCGCGCGGGGGCGTGCGTGCGTCTCCGGCGGCGGCGGGGGCGGCGTGGCGCCGGAACTGGAACGCCCGCTTGGGGGGGGGGGGGGGTGCGATCAAACACGGCCGTTTTCCTAGCGGTGATGGATTGCTCTCCAGCATCTTAGCTAAGTTTGGTATAGTCGTATGCAAAGGCGCTACATATAAACCATAAAACCTTTCTTTCGTGTGGGTCAATCCGTCAAGATCCTTCGCATAGGTCGTGCATTCGCACTATTTGCCAACAGCGTCACAACGAGTCATTTTTGGGGATAGAGTTTGACGTCCGCTTTTTCCCTCTTTTCTGTCAGCTCAGAACAGCGAATGTAGCTATCGAATATAGCATTCTTGGTTAAAAGCATCGGTCAGCAAATGCTGAAAAACCATATGTGAAAGCATCGGAGTGCTGCTATTACTAGGTAAATACATCGGAGTGCTGCTGTTACTAGGTAAATACATCGGAGTGCTACTTTTCCTAGGTAAATACTTCGGAGTGCTGTTATTCCTAGGTAAATGCATCGGAGAGCTGCTACTCCCAGCTAAATACATCGGAGGGTTTCTATTCCTAGGTATATGTACATTAATATCGTAAATTTCACAAAAAATATTTCATCTCGTGCCCTAGGGCATGTTTACCGCCAGCGTGTTTTAAGGCAGTAGCTGGTTTACGACTTTTGATATGTGCCGTGATGTTATGATAGTACATTTGTGAGGACGTGTAAACCCAGAATTTGGCACGACCCCGTCACAAGCTGGCCCGCTGTCACGAATTGAACCCCTAACTTGTCGGCATCATGTGCTGTATTTGGGGGTTTTCTACCGCTGATGCATTACAGTTTCCATGCAGAAATGTGGTAATGGGGTGGGGTGGGGGGCGCAAGGGAAAGTGCCCCGCCCCGTAGCCTCCTAGCCTAGTAGCTTACCTCATATACTGAGGTTGTCTAAATTCCTGAGACCGCAGAGAATAACTGGCACTTGCCCTCCGTACTTCAGAAAATGTTGGCTGCTGACTGTACGACAAATTCAAAGTAAGTTTACCCATTCAATTCAAACACAAGCAAAAGGAGAAAAAAAAACGTTCCAAGATAAAAGCGTTCACTGGCCTAGAATCGCCACAAAATCGCGCTATCTATCGAGTCCAACCCATGCTGTCAACGCATCGCAACAGCACTACACTTCTTCCTTTCTTCGTAGCCCCAGAGTGTATCCCAAGTCAGGGACAACCGCAGCGGTTGCGACCGCCCTTACAACTGCCGTCGTCATAATGACGGCAAAATCTGCTAGGGCGGTAACCAGCTATTGCGGGTTTGAGTTCACTCTTCTGAGTTGATAACCCGCACACTGCGGGCCTGCGGCCTAAAAAGTGGCACATTTACTGGTGTGAATGACGTCAGTGCAAATGAGCCTTTGTGAATGGCAAGGGGACGGCAAGAGCCAGTTATCGAGAAGCCCGATGGCTGAAGTTCCAATCCGCGTGTCAATATAGACAATGTGATGCGCCCTTATTACGCTTCGTTGCATTCGCTGGATAAAAGCCTCATGTTTGCATATCTTTTCATATCAAGCAGACTGTTTCATGCTTTCGTAACATTCCACGCAACCATATCTAGCAGAGAGTCCAGTGACATTTTTTCTACAGAAGCGGCTACTTCAAATGGAAGTTCCGAGCATTTATTTCTCTCATCTCTTTCTCTCCGAGCATTTATTCCATCTCATTTTACAAAAAGATCAGAGCATTTGGTTTTGTTCACCGGATTAAGCTCAGCGCAGTGGTCTCATTTGTGTGCGTGTCTTTTATGCTGGCATTTCTACCTTTACGCCTCAATGGTTTTGCAAGTTTTTGATATTTGCGCAGACGCCTAATGGAGCGTAGAACTTCATTGTGGTCTTTATTACATTCTAGGAACCGGTGCCGGCGGCGCAAAATGTTAACAAAAATAGGATGGCGTAGTTTCGAAACATCTACCTCAAACGCAGGAGGAATAGTCTTTTGGAAAACCACGATACTGCCCTCGTGAAGAGGCACACTAAAAAATAATTGATGTCCCGCACGAACCGCAAGGCTCGTGCGGTTCAGGCCACTGAGGATACTTTTTAGACCAAGGGCCTCTTGAGCAGCCAACCGTTTGAACATGTCGCCTCACGCTGAAAACCAGTGACGTTGCTTCTGTTATTGTGTGTGCGTAACTTGAATGATTGGATCTGATGAAGCGTACTGCCTGAAGAGCTCTATTTGAAAGAAAGGAAAATGCACACTACATAGTATTTATACCAACGGGGCATAGGAAAGTCAGCCGGTTGTAAGGATTCGTTTGAATATCGTTTATATAATATTATTCATATCAATGGCTTCATGGCCTTGGCCTTCAATAGTGCTTAAGTAGCATTGGCCTTCAAAAATGGCTAAATGGCCTTGGCCTTCAATAGTGGCTAAATGACATTGGTGTGTCCATAAAGGCTTTCTTGGCCTTAGCAGCGCGTTGAAGCTCCTTTCTTTTACTTGATTTTCTGTTCTATTTCCTAGGGTCGAAGTTTAGGAAATGGACTCTAAAAATTCAGTTCCCATACAGGAGTGACAACTGCAAAAGGGCGAAAGAGAGATGGCTAGCAACCCAAAACACAGCATACTCAAGAGAGACAATTGTTCAAGCTGGCGCAGACTACAGACACCTGGACATTGGATCCAATGGTAAGTACAGGGGAACTTTGACACGTATTTAGACAGACGGCTACACAACTAATGCATGCAGAGACAAGCAAGTAAACTTCTTGAGTACAACACGATCCTTAAAAAAATGTCATATGACGCTGAGAGCTTTCTAAATAAAAAATCAGCTACTGCACCATAAGTATTAAGACTTTTAAGCACTCACTCAAGTGAGATTAATGTGACCGTCTCTCAACTAAGACACAAAAACCTGCTCTTGTATTATATAAACCTTTAACAAAACTGTATAACCCACTACGCAACACAATTTGTAACTTTGTAAGGGTGTACAAATACAACATTGGCATCAACATTCTGGCTGTCAAAACTCGTGCACTGGAAATTTGAACAAAAATGCTTGACCTCATGCACAGGATACACTAGTACAAAACGCTGTACCAACGACACGACTTCACAATTATATGTCTTGACGCAGCAAAATACTCCGAAGAAAATCCGGCACACGGAACATTTGGATAAAATTTCAGACGGCCTCTCACATAGTTTAGACGGCAATGAACTGGTTGAAATTTTTCCTAATCTACAGACGATGGAGGATTAGGACAGATGACACGTATTGTAGGGCACAGACAATAAACGCAGACTGCTCACCGCGATCTGTCCTTTGCCACTTTCTTCGGATTCCAGACCTTGACGGACCAGCAGAAAAGACGGAAAGCACACCTGTTTTCTAAGCTGACTTTTCACTGTGCTTGTCATTTTCAACTAAAAGCAGAAACGTCAAATGCATTCATCTTAAGCTTATCTTAATAGAAAGCTGCCGTAAACAGGGGGCTTCAGCTTTCAGTCCTACCACGATATTCTGTTATGCACCCAGGAACAACGCATGACTTCCTTCTCCAACGACTGCTTTGGCAGAACAAACCGTCCTCTCAGTAGAATGGTGCCAGCGTCAGGATTCATTCTGTAAAAAGCATTTTATCCGCACGTCAACGAAATAATCCGAAATGACCATACTGCCTTCAGCCCACTTCATCACGTGGCAATCAAATCGCTGCGATCAGCGTCAAAAGGCAAAACCCCCGACAGATCCTAGCCGTACCGCGACTGCTGCAACTTTTTTGTCGGACATCTAACGGTCTACGACGAGAACAGACTGGAACCGCAGCCCCAGTCGCAACGCGGGAGTCTTCGTTCGAGCACTCTTCAGAACTTCGACCGCACCAGCCAAGACTTGGGCTTGTTTGGAATTACTAAAGATGAGACGGTAAATGGGCAAACTTGCGCACGTCTGGCAAATGTTCAACGCACTCACTTCAATCGCAGACTACGCTAGGTAAACTCAACCCCAGCACGTCAGAAAAACACTGGAAGGGACCTTAAAAAAATAGCATACACGGAAGCTTTTCGACAGCAGGATATCGTGCTTTCAAGCATCATTCATACCAGACACAGCTCGCAGATGAAACAAACACCTGCCCCCGCCCGATCCCGACCACCACTACAAGAGCACACGTAAGATATTTCAGCATTCCCGGGAACGCAACGCCCTTCTTATTATGTTTCGTTCAGCTTTAGACCCGAAAAAGGTTGCGCGCAAAGTGACGGTTAGAAACGTCACATCTCAACACACACATCTTCCGAGCGCAAAACGTCGTGCACCACACTGTCAGTGTGAGAACCACAACACTCCACTGGGTTCAATCCTCAAAATAGGCCGATCGAATCCATCAGTATTATTTGGAATCGAATAAGTTCGCTTGCTTGACCGATGCCAAATCAAATCCATTTTGCATTATTTCCAACTTCCATAGTTCGTACCTTGTCCCTCATTATGTCAGTCCACTCCGATCCATGAAGTGATCCTAAAGCCATGGAGTTACATGAGTGTTTTCTTGTGGTTGTTAAATGAAGTAATCAATTGCAACATGCAAGATATGTGTATGCTTCATTTCTTTAGAGACATCATACCTGAGAGTGGAATGTTGCATCGCTTTGTTATTAAGCCAGCCGGCATGAACCAATTGTCATTTGTGAGCAACGCCAGCATCAGGGCGATTATTGAGGTGGTGAAAATGGGAGACCAAGTGGAAAGCAGACTTGTGTTCGACTTGAGCTGAAATATGTATCGGCTCATCAGTTAATCGTTTTCGAGTGAGTCGTAAACTAAGTCGGCTCATTAGGAAAATGTTGCTTTAAGCGATGAGCTT